TATATATATTATATTTTCGTCCTTTCTCTGTCATGAAATCCTCCATTTTAAGTTTTTTTTTTTAGCTCGACTAAATTGCGTCCTGCGTACACAATTATACAAGACCACTAATATATTAGTTACTTATTGTCTGGTTCTTCAGTGAAAAACTTAGCGGGACTATTTTCAGCTAAACAATGTACCCTCTCCAACACCTAACCTGATAGTGAGGTCTTGAACTGGTTTTTAGTGAATACTCAAACAGCTAAACATGGTTTAAGTCAGCATGTACTATCTTTGGTCAGGACAATGATAGTACATAACAAGATGGGCCACTTCTCTCTTTGAGCCAATGAAAAAAGTGTCCTCAAAATTTGGTGGCGCCCTCTTCACAAAAGCGCACTCTTTGCGAACAGAGTTACCCTACTTGAGTTAAAAAAAATAAAAGTGAAACTAGCAAGTTTTGGGATAAATTTCGGAAGAACGCTTTTTTAAAATGGTTACGCTGACAAAAAACCTCTTCCGGAGGAGAGGGTGATGGTTTTCTTCGTTTAATTTGACTTTAGAATGTGAAAGGCGAGAGGTCATTAAAATATTTAAAAAACTAAAACTCCGCACTGAACGTACCCGAACTGCTGATGAACAGCAGTCGATCTGCGCACGCAAGGAGGTGCTATTCCTATTCTTCTTCTGGAAAAACGAAAGAGAGCCTCAAAACAGACTGTAGCGCCATCTGAAGCAAAGAGCATACTTCCTGCGGACACTTTTTTGGCTGAGTGGCCCATCTTGTTATTCACTATCTTTGGTCAGGATTCTGATTCGACTACAGACCACATAATCGATACCACACAAAAACAGCTTATTGGGTAAGCCGGTGCACAACAGCGTAAAGCCTGCGCAATTTCCGCCCCCTTGACAACACCAGCTTGACTGGCAGATAATAATAACTAGGCGTCTCCATATTTTTTTAAATTCAAAGATAACTCAGAAAATGCCAAGCGCAGGCCAGATAACTACATAATTTTGTCCAAAATAGTCTCCTGAATACATAAAATATAAAGACTACAAACCTACTGCTCAATCAATACACAAAATGTAAATGCACAACAATAATACAGACGAATTTAAAAAAAAATCAAAATGTCATCAAAACTAAAAGAAAAATCCCCGTTTGCGGTAGGAAATGTATTAAATAAAAGCTTTGTCAGCTCAAAGCGGAGCAAGACCGTGATACATTAAGCAAGAAGTTATGGAGTCTATGAAAGTACCGGTACTTTGATTTGCACTGTAGAAATCAATGAAACGAATAGGTAATTCTGGCGATTAATTCCTGACCGAGCACGCTATAAACACAACTCCAAAGTCTTACTTTTGGGTGTTTAAAAAAAAATCTGCCTTGTAGAATGGCGGCGGACCAGACGAACTGAACCCGAGGGCGGATCTGGCCTGGAGGCTATAGTTTGGTGACCTCAGATATGGATGGATGGCAACATCTACCTCGGGCATTGATATCTCCATCTTTCTGTAAACGCGTGGAAAGGGGACTCTCAAAACAGACTTATTATATTATATCGAGAAGAATACAGGTTTTGGAAGTGATCTCGAGATCCCACTGAAATCATGGGTTCAGCCAACATGAACCACCTTGCGACAGAAATAGTCCATCAGACTTCTAGGATACCATTGGCCCCGATTGAAGACCCAACTCGTAGCAGAAAAAGAATTTGATATGGAACAGCTGCATTAATAATTTTAAAAAATACCATTACAAATAGCTGTCGTGTGGAGGAGAAAGAAAAGTAGACAAAAGACAGACAACATCACTAAGTGGACAGAAAACCTTTGCAAAGACCCAGGCCCTCACTCATGGCCAGGTTAAGAAGGTGGCGCACAGATCCTCAAGTCGGTGCCCCATACGACTGTCCCAAGTGTTAGCCTATTGAAGTCGAGCTGTTTTAGAGTACGGGTACAGAACAAAAGAGGCATAAGTCTAACTTTGTTATTCATTCTGTTTTCTTTGTCTGAAACTGAAATGAGGTGGGAATAACATGGATACTATGAAATGGTCGCTGAAGAAGGAAATCTTTCAATTTCACAATGTCACATTTGTGTACTTGCTTTATGCCCCCCCCCCCCCCTACAATTAAATGTTGCGTAGCCGATTATTATTGTTAGCATAAATGAACACATCATATTAAGATCTTAGCATCAATCGTTATAAATAAATAGTTAATTGTATTTCCTAATAAAAGTTCATAAGCCTTCAGCGCTTCTGTCATGCGTCTGAACACGATTGTTGTGTAGGTTTTCTTTAATTGATACATCTGGGTATCACAAATGCTTTGCATCTTTTAAATCAAGCTGTACAATGTAACATTGGTAAATTTTAAAAAATCAATATCCTTTCTGGGGCAAAATCACAAGGCTACTATCTTCAGTTACATTCTCTTATATATATATATATATATATATATATATATATATATATATATATATATATATATATATTTATATATATATATATATATATATATATATACCTTTCAGGAGATGCATGTCCTAAAGCTGCTACCTTTTTGGCCTAATTAAGTCATTTTTTAAACTTCGGAAATACTTTAAAGAAAACTGTCTCAGTAAGTGAAAAAATGTACTTTGATAGACCAAAAATTCCAGAGCTAATTAATTTACCGTCCCTCATTAGTACTAATTGTTATTTTCCAATAAAAACCAAAAGTGAGGGATGTTACTGACATAGGCCATTGCATGACTGTGGCCTCTGACTTAGGCCGTTTTGCAAAATAACTTGAGCGATTTCATGACTGCTGTCTCCGATTTAGGCCAAGTTGCAAAATAACTCGCGCCAAATTTTTTTTGTTCGTTCTTCAATTCTGAATGACTTTGGCCATTTTGAAAAGAATTTGACTGAAATGGACAGTTAGATCCATGACTGAGATGACTGAGATTAAGAAACTTGCCCAGGCTTTGGCCTAATTAACTATGACATAGGCTTTAACGAATGAGAGACGAATAGGCAGGCCTATGTCAGACTTAGGCTAAATTACACAGTTAAATCAATATCACTTTTAATTTAGGCCAAACACATTTTTTAACAAAATTCGTTGAAATGGTTGGGAGTATATTTTTAATTTTATGTCACTCTATTAAGCAGATGTCAAGGAGTCCAGTGGTTCACAAGTTGCATTTTAGCCCAAGTCTGCCTTAGTCCAAAACGGTAGCAGCTTGACGATGTATAAATTCAAGTGTCATGTCGTGTCCTTTCTCAGTCAGGCTCCTGCCTGTCTGTCTCCGTCAGCCTCTCTCTCTCTCTCTCTCTCTCTCTCTCTCTCTCTCTCTCTCTCTCTCTCTCTCTCTCTCTCTCTCTCTCTCTCTCTCTCTCGCACACAAACACACACACTCACTCTCTCTCTCTCTCTCTCTCTCTCTCTCTCTCACACACACACACACACACACACACACACACACACACATACACACATACACATACACGAGCACACAACACACTCAAGCACACACAGACACACAGACAGTCAGACAAACACGACACACATATATTCATATACACATATTATGCAAACTAGCAAAATTGTATACTCACAGATATATCGGCATTAAACATTAAATAATCCCTACACACCTGTTAACTGCATTGTTCGTCATTCTATAGCAAGAATACTACAATATCTCAGAAAAAGTCTTAATCTTTGGAAAAATTGCGTCTCAAAAGCTTGATTACTCATAATAAGAGACACCACCACGTAGAGGAAAATGAACAGCAAGATGGCTTTCACTGCGTTCACGGATACGCGAAAAAGGCTGAACATTCCCACCACCGCAGTGAGACAAAGGATTAGCACGATGGTTTCCCACCAAAACAGAGATATAGGGACGCCTGACACGCAGACTGTAGACATGTCACCAGCGCCAGTCACTGCCGGGCATCCGGACGACGTCATGATGGTCACAGGTCACAGACGTCTTCAGTCGGAAATACTGTCTCCAACGAATCCCGTTTCAGTCGTAAGTATTGTTTCGAACTGTTCCGAGCCTATCTGCTTCAGTCGGAAGTGTTGTTTCGAACTGTTCCGACCCAATCTGCTTCAGTCGGAAGTGTTGTTTCGAACTGTTCCGAGCCTATCTTCTTCAGTCGGAAGCGTTGTTTCGAACTGTTCCGAGCCTATCTGCATCAGTCGGAAGTATTGTTTCGAACGAATCTGCTTCAGTGGGAAATATTTATATACTGTTTTGAAAGATATGTTGGTTAACTTTGATGGGGTTTTGTTGCTGTTGTTGTTGTTGTTGTTTTTCTTGTTGTTGTTGGTTGCGGTAAGAGTTTTGCTTCTTTTGCAACACAATAAGGTCATATAACTGCCGAAGTTTGATAAGAGTATTCCCGGTGCCTGCTTGCTTTGCGTAAGAGCTCGGTTCCTCACAGCTCTAAAAAAGTGATACAACACCCGGCTTTTCACTTGAGAACATTTTTTTTCTCATGATAAGTGCACTTAATGATAGTATAGTTAAGTCTGCTGCCTTTTTTAAAGTTCACAATATGTAACTTAAAAATATAACATTCGTCACTGAAAAGATGACGTGAACACACTAGGAGCAGGCGGAATTTCACGGCAGCATTGGAATCAGTTAATCTTAATAATATTCCTTCCTAATTTTCTCCACAAACAATACCACGTCATATAATATAACTTCTTTTCCGAAATGCTACTCATTTAGAACATCGGTCATTAAAAAAAAGCCCCAAAGAACACCTCTCTGTATATATGAGTAAATTATCAACATCTAAATAAAACAATACGCCCAGCGACCTAGCCAAGAAAAAATTAAGTGTTGGGTGAGCGACTATATCAAGTCGGCCTACTTGTAACTGCTTGCACACTAAACAGTTCCCTATAAAATTAATTAAATGTATAGACGCTACTGAAGCACGTTTACAATTCTATTCTAAGCCACGTCAATTCGATAAGGGGAAATTTCCTGTCTATCAATACTATCATAGCTCTCTCAAAACTGGCTCGATGTGGGGTTTATTCCCCCCCCCCCCCTCTATGGAAACCTATTGAAATCTAGCGTCAGTCAAAAGGTTATAGGGATAGAGAGGCTCTTTCAGACTATGTATAACACTACTATTCAGGCTGTCCTGGGCTGGTATGGCTGTGGATACAAAAGAAACACAAAGCAGTCAGTGACAGGTTATGGAAAGACGTTGCATTCGTCGACGCTTTTAAAGACAAATGGGTCAATGATTCGTAAGAAAGTGAAGGAACATGTCGTACATGTATTTATGTGAGATGAAGAGAAAGGGGGAAATAGAGCCAGAG